TCGCAATTTGTCTAAAATCCAAGTCGGATGTATGTAAGCTAATAAATGTTCTTGTTAATCTTATCTCGTCTTTTGATTCATTCATGGTTACAAGAAATCACCACATAGAGTCTCTCAAGTTTCCGTAGATATAACAAACACAGAAATAAATAACACAAAATAAATTGTAGCTATGTGTCGATTCCGTGTGACACGTCCGAATATGTAAGCTAAACAATAGTGTGGGGGAATGAGTAATCAAGAGTTGCGTTGTGCTCAAATAAAAGACGAATCGACGAGATTTGAAAATCGCATAACTCCGAGTTCGCGTAAGTCGGAGTAGCGTAAGTTGAGGTAATACTGTACATGCTATGGAATCTTTATCCTCTATTCTATCATCAACAAGTGTTTCTGATATAAAATAAGCTTAGTTTTTCAATACTTCAGGTGAATTTAGGATATTACATCAATTTGCATAAAGGTATGAAATTTCGAATTCACAGAAACTTGTAAATGAAAAGACAGTACTTAAAACCAATACATAAACAACTTTTAATATCAAAAGGAAACAAATAATAATTGACCTGTCCACCTGTTTTGCTTATTTAGATCTTGACAAATTTATCACCTGCAGTGGTAGTTTCAAGGACAATGGTAGGCGTACAANAAAACCAATACATAAACAACTTTTAATATCAAAAGGAAACAAATAATAATTGACCTGTCCACCTGTTTTGCTTATTTAGATCTTGACAAATTTATCACCTGCAGTGGTAGTTTCAAGGACAATGGTAGGCGTACAATACTGTATTTCCTTGAAAAAAGAAATTCAATGGCAATTGGTAATTTTAAATTTTTTGACTAGAGTGCTTTTAAAATTTGAGGAACCAAAAAGAAAGTGCAATATATCTGAATCCACAATATAACAAGGGGCTGCTGTACTTATATATGAATGAAATTTGAGAATTTTATAAAAATTATATAAAAACATTTGTGAGGACCAGAACAGGGATCGACTGAGAGGTCCGAATTATGGGTTCGATCGAAAATAAAGAGCTCCTTTTCAGACGATAAGGAAATGGATTAGGTGTCTCGATTGAACAATGCAATTGGTTTTTTTCGGAAAATTAGTTAAACAATGGAAACGGAGAAATTCGAGGAAAACGCGACGAGAGAGAGGATCATATTCAGTCGCTATGTTAACCTCTCCCGCGCCCTCCATTAGGTTTCGAATTGTCACCAGGTGACAATGAGAGACCAATGGAGAGGCGACTGCTGTAAAAAAATCTATAAATTTGTGCGACTCAAGAGACGAAGGGGCTTGGTTCGTAGTTTTTGGTTCTTGGTGTTTGGATACGTAGTGTGTCGTCTCATGGACGGTCGTGCTCCAGATCTTAGAAAAAAAGGACATTTTGGAACATCGTGGAAGCATCGTTCTCTGGGTGCTCCTAGCAATCGACAGATTCGTCGGTTCGTCCGCGAGAAGCCGCCGAAAGCCGAAATCGACGCCCCGGGGCCCACCGAGTGTTTCACCAGCAACATCCATCCACTAGTGACGAAAACCATCTTTTACGAACTTTATTTCGAACTTTATCCGTGCGCTTTGGAGTGCTACCTCGTCTAACAAGTAATTTGTAAGGAAAATTTCTAAGTTTAATAAACGGTATTATGGTAAACCTGTCTCAGGAAGTCAGTCTGCGCCCACACGACAGAAAGAACCGCTCGGCTGTCGAAAAAAACCTCACCCTAATCGGCTGACCTCACACATTATATTAATTTTCTTTATGAGCTTGTTATATATGCACTGGAATAGAAAACCTTACAAAATTTCCTACCAGAGATTATTCTTTACACTAGGTATATAGACAATATTCTCATATGGAAATCAAAATCTTAGTGAGAATTAACAACAACTCATACAGCTAGAATGACACAGTAATTCCACAGTACATTTTTTGCATTTAAACATTGTGCTTAGAGATGAAGTATTGCTACTAAAGTATACTATAAACTTAAATATCATCCCTTTTTTTTATTTCTGTAGGCTCCAGTGATCCCTACTCATACAAACAACCTTTAGAACAGTGGCTTGCCATCCTTGGAAGCGGTGGAAGCGGTGGAAGCGCTGCTTCCCTTGTATTTTCTAAAATATGAAAATCACACAATATGTATTTATATTTGAATGTATTTTATTACAAATTTCTACACTACATGTGAAAAAAGATTGCTATTGTATATTCGAATATAAATTCGTATTTGGATATTCGCAGTGGAAGTGCCGTGATGTCGAATACGGGACAGCTTCTATGACAAAAATATTTGAATGGTGTAAAACAGCCAGATTATAGGCATTCGTGCATGCGCTTTACAGAGCACCAACCTCACGGTGTAAGCTACACATACAACACTTCCAATGATTCTATCCAGGACCGGTTCTGGGCTGTTAGCCACCTGCCTGCTAGATATGTGGCTGCCATTGCCCATTATGTGAACCGCGAGTAGATTTATAACTTAACCAGTAATGTGCCGTGTTTGGAAGCAGTGGAAGCACCACTTCCCTTGTATTTTCTGAAATATAAATACATATTGAGCGATTATTTTCATATTTTAATGTTCTTTACATTAATTAAAATTAATATTTTATTATAACTGCATTATGTATCTTATTACAAATTTCTATATTACATGTGTAAAAAAACGATAAAATTGCTATTGTATATATTTGAATATCAGTGGCGGAATGAATGAATAAATCACGAGTAGATTTATAACTTAACCCACTGATAGGAGTTTACTGGTACGTTTTTATGATAGTTCTGTATAATTGACAGGAGTTTTAAAAAATCCATTAAAATATTTGATATTTTTATTCTGCTCTCCCATCTTGTATTACTTACAGATTAATTACAGATTTCAATGTTAAACTAGTGATATTACAATTTAGTACGTCCCATCTATAAGAGAATGCAGGAAAAACGTGTACAATTCTTATACAATGTTTAAAAAATGAACTATTTGGCAACATCATTTACAACTAAATGTAATGAATGATACACACAAGATACAAAAATGTCTAGAATTTATTTTCCTTAAATTTACGATTTATGAATCTGTTGTCATAAAAATTTGTTTTTCCACTTCTTTCCCAAGACTACAAATATTCAAGTACAAAGCCACCAGTTTCAACTTATTTCTACTTAAGAAGTAGTTAAATAATTAAGAGATTAGGGAATTAGGGACATAAATGTTTTTTAGGCATCAGAATTTTTCATCGAGCTATTCAGACTTGAATAGCTAATATTGAAAGATTGATCACAGGCCACATAAATTCATTAGATGGGCCGTACATTATTTTAAAAGTAAAGAATATTTTATGTTATTTTTGTGTGTGTTTCTTTACAAAGTCATATTTAATTATAATTTTCTTTAAAAGTATATTCATGCAATTGAAGAATATTTTGTACCAGGTATGTATATCTACTACACATTTTTTATTTCTCCAAGTAAGTTTTTATTATTTTATTTTTAATTGTAGTCCTTAAGTCATGGCTAGCAATTCAGAATGTAACTGTGATATTAAAAATACATTTAAAGAAGTCTATGGCTTATCGAACAAATGAATACAAATGGACCCTAGACCATCACTGATGCACGATCAACTAATTGCCCCTGGAAGTCTGCTTCTTATAGAAACACAGCTTCCCTATAATCAAATGTCACGGCACACCACTGCTTTAGAGTGTTGGTTAGGTGTTTTGATATATTAGATACTGTGAAGGAACTTAAGAGCATAGAAAAAATTTCTGTTACATGTAGTTACATAAGCTAATACAGTATTTGGCCCAAAATTACAATCTGAATAAACAGAAGCAAACTCCCATAAGAAAACCAAAATGAAACAGCACGACCAAACTGAACCCAGATGTACAGTGGGCTCAAATCAATTTATGAGGAAACAGGTAAATATTTAAATATGAACACTTGCTATCGAAAAATGCAACTGTTTATAAATAGCACCATATGTAATTAATATGCATCAATGTCCTTAATTCAAACTAGTTATTCTTTCAATCACCATAACTGTATTTCTATTAATAGGACTTATCATACTGGTGTATAAGATTACAGCAACTCAAGTCACACAGATTAAAATTGTTTTATTTACAATTACCTGTAAATAAAACAATTTTAATCTGTGTGACTGAGTTGCTGTAATCACTGTTATGGTGATTGAAAGAATAACTAGCACCAGATGTACATCACATCCCAATCTCAGATGAGAGATTTAATAGCAAACTAGTATGTATCGGTTCCACAAATAGATTATTAAACAGTAAAATTAAAGAACATAGATATAACATTGAAAAGAATAAGCTGATAACAGTATTATCCAGTTATGTCACCAAATCCAGGGTAAAGGCAAATCCGATCTGACAAGGCTTTAATAATAACCATGTAAGAGTAATGAAAATACTAGAAATATACAAAGCAAAAAGGAAGACGCTGAATCAATTACAAAGACAGAGAATTGTTGTCTGCGGCTTGGCAGTCTTGTTACGATAACCAACAGATGGATTAAGCACAATGGCATTATATTATAGACTCTTATAGAAAATTAATGCAATGTTTTTATATAATTTTTAATTTTTATAAAACTATCAAATTTTGTTTATATATAAATACATAATGCCATGACATTTTATATTTTAAATTTGTAAAAGCATCATAAAACACTGACATTCTAAATTAGAATGTCAGAAATTTTTATTAGTTTAGTGAGTAGACCTAATTTTGGCCTATAGAGTACGCTGAAAATATTTGTCTGTCAATTAAAATATTTGAGTTTCACAGACAATTCAAAATAAATACCTTTTGGTAACCAATTTAATTATTCCCTATAATTCTGATATGTTAAAATTCTAAACTAAATTTGTTCTAAATAATTAGTGGTTATATTTCAAAAATTTATAATTATTATACTAATATATATAGTATGTAATTGGTACGGTAATAGTACTTACTTTGCTTGTAAAATGCGATTGTCTACATCGTCAATAGAGCCGCCGTGAGCAATTCGAAAAGCGCCCATGAAAGCAGATCGCTTTCTACGCAATTTTTCACACTAAAAAAATTAAACAAAATTTTCGATTCAAGATATTACCTTTAATTTTTTAAATTTAAATCATTGAAAGTTTAGCATTTCTTCTGGCATAAAAGATATTCAATTTCTAACCAATTAAAAATTATTATAAAGATTGTAAAGATTTTTCTTCATTAGATTTCAAATTAATTATGCTAATTCTCTTCATTTTACACAAAATAAATGGGAAAAAATTATCTTATAATTTTATAAAAATTCTCTCTATTCATGTGGAGTACTTTATAAACATTTTGACTTTTAATCGTATGATTCGCTTCCCTATTAAACATTAAAATTTACAAAAATTCCTGTTTTACAATGCTAGAAATATTATCTTTTCACTTATTAATTAATCCTGAACTGAAACTTCAAACTATTTATAAAACATAATTAAGCCAGAAGTCAGATGGTGAAGCAGTTAAAGTGTCAGCCCACTGCTCCGAGAAATCTGGAAATGAATCTGAATGGTCAAAAACCCCCAGGAATTTTCTGGAGCCCAACACCTCTGTGGCTCCATCATCACCACCCAGCTACCCCACTGCGAACCTGCCAAACCGTAATGGTTTGATAAGAAGACCCGCTTCATATCCCCAGGGAAGAGTTAATAATAAATAAGCTAAATATCTAATTATAGGTTTTATTGGACTGCATATGGGATATTAATTTATCTATATAATTTGTCTAAAGATAGGCAGTTAAGCCCTTTAGTTAGACTATATACTTAGTTAAATTCGTAGTTCAAATATAGTTTGATAAATTGACAATTAGATATTTGATTTAACATTAATTAATCTGGCTAGTTGATGTATTCAAATTAATTGATATCAATTAGTTTCAAGTCATCTATTAAATCGATTTAATCACTTATTTGTTATTATTTGAAATTAATTATTATAGTAAGAAGGTTTCTTCTATTAACGCATTCTAAATAAAAATCAAACAACACAACTTTTTCATTACTGTTTAAAATGTAGTTGAAACCTAAAAACTGTATTATTATTTTAAAAAAAATTATGAGAATAATAGGAATTTCTTACTATGTAGAAAAAGAAGGCAATAAAATTTTGTGCATAATGTGTTAAATTTATTGTAAAAACTTAGTTTGGTCTCGTAATAATGGAACTGTAACAGAGCGTGTGAAAACCTGCAACTGCCAAAACAGTAATGTAGTTCTATAGCATTGAAAAAAATAAAGTATTCACAGTTCTTGTGAATATATCAGACATACTGAAGACATTAACATTAAATTTAGATTGTCAGTCACAATTCTATTATAAAATAAAGTGTGAAATATTTTTTAATTATTTTGTGAGCCATTTTTATTTATGCTTTTTAAAATATCTAATTTTTTAAAGTTTAAACAAATATAGTATATAGTAATTTTTAATAAATTTATTCCAAATGAATCTATTAATAGCAACCAAAAAAATAACAAAGATAAATCAAATAAAAACTTTGTAGTGACTTAATCATTTTATACAATACATACAGTGATTCAATGTTATCATTATTATTAATTAAACTTACTAACTACAACATTTTATTAATAATCTGATAGTATTTGTATATTAATAAAGAAACAGCGTTGACTGATACTCAGTTTTTGATAAGCAAATCGACCACCATCAAATCTGGGATTTATATATTTAATCTTTCTTCTTTTATTTTTAATTCTCTACCTTATGGGTACTGAAAAAGACCTTTTTTCGAAGGCTCACCATGGATTCGGACAGGCTCACAATGGAACAGCTGAACGACGGAAGGAATATTCCAGAATGGACCACCCATGAAAAATTCTTTTTGATCAGAGAAGCGGGTTGATACTTTTGTCGTCTCGACCGTCTAGCCAGAAATTTAACCCTTATACATATAAACATATTTCAGCTCAATGGTCCTCTTCACACAGATATATGATTTAAAAGTGTAATAAAAATATTTCATTAGAAATTGATAACTCCAAATTACTTAACCCTATTGTCATTAACATAATTTAACATCTCCCAGGTAAACAACTCTACAAAAACCCGATACATTATAATAAAGCACCAACCACTGCCGTATAGCCTGATGGCATATGGCAGTGATTTATCAGCCAGGTAATTGAAATGTATATTTATTTTTTGAACTATTAACAGATAAATTTGAAACGATATATGAGAAAAAAATCTAGTAATTATATAAATTTAGCAAAATGATATTTTAATTTGCTTTATCATAATTATTATTAAATGATTTAATCAGTCAACCAAGAAGTATTTTAATGGAAATGGAAATAATATAAAAATTTTGCAAACCCCTTCTTTAGCTGCTGCTAATTGTTTCTCAGCAGCTGCTTTCTTTGCATTGTAGTATCTCAATTCTAACTCGTGGGTAAGCTGTAACCAATTTTGCAGATCGGTCGGCGGTGCCCACGGTCTAGATTCCAACATTTTTTTCGTTTTCTTCAAATCCTCTTGAGCGTCGCGCAATTCGTCTTCAAGCTGCAAAACTCTGCCTTGTTTCATGTAATCCAATTCTTGTTTTTCACAAGCTTGAAGCTAAAAATTAATATATTTTGTTTTGAAATCTTAAAACAAAATCAATATATTAATAAATATAATGATGATTATTATTTCAAATTATTATTTAAAGTAGCTGTCACCTGTGAAAACAAAGGGAAGTAAAACTATGCTCTTTTATCAAAGTATATAATTTTTGGACAATGGAACAAATTATTAGCCCAACAGTCTGATTTTCTGTTAATAAATTATTAGTTAGAAGATTGCTGTTTGGATTTTAAAACCAAGTTTTTACAAAAATAGGGTTGAGTTGAGTCATATCAAATTATTTAATGACATAAAGTTATGCATTCATTTAGTATTTTGAATCAGTCATTAATACAGAATTTTTATAGAAATTACATAATGTAATGATAAAATGAAACATGTAAACAATGAATCACACGAGACTTGTTTTGTATGACTTCACATAAATGTTTAAACTGGACAAAAATGGCTGAACACATATGTTCAAATGATATCAAGGAACTGGTTGTATAAAAAGTAAAGCTGAATCGTCACCTACAGAAATAAGCAAGCATCTTAAATTTTCTCTTTCAACAATTCTAAGAATCCTGAAACTATGTATGCTGGAGGAATTGTCGAAACTGCACGTAAAACCAGAAGACTTCAGAAAATAACTGTACGAAATGATCACCAAATCAGACAATTTGCTAGTGCTAATCCTTCAATGTCGTCTGCAAAAATCAAAAATGCAATTTGACCATTAAATAGTATTGAACAATATAACGTAGTCTTGTAGAGGTGACGTTATGCTCAGTAAAATCACCATACATGTCAAAAAAGAACAGGCAATTTGCCTGAAGTTTGCACAGAAACACCTGCACTGGACTGAAAAAAACTGGAAATTATGGAAAAAGCATCATAGAATGACAAATCCAAATATAATTTGCTTTCTTTAGATGGTGTACAGTGAATCCCCCATCCTGTAAATGCAAAACATTATACTGCAAAACATGGAAGAGGATCTATCATGATCTGGGGATGTTGTTCAAGTAATAAAGTAGACCTTGTCAACTATGTAAATTTGTTTTGTATACCTTGATATTCTGAAAAATGTCATTTCTTCTAATCTCACTCATCATAAATTTATGGTTTAAAACAATCCAAAGCACAAAGCTAAAGTTGTAACTGACTTTACTGCCAAAAAAGAGAAATATTGAATTAGTCAGCACAATTATTTCAGTTCCATTTCTTAAATTTAGTAATTTGTAATAACAAATTACTAAATTTTGTAAAGCAGGGTCTTCCAAAATGAATTCTACCATTTTTCATTTACTGTAATTATGTTAATTACAAGAAGTATGCAACATATATCAATCAATAGAGTAACCATCCAAGTTTCATCTCTCGTCTGCATTCAAACATCTTGTTGTCTACTACTTTTAGGAAGCACTGTAAACAAAAATGGAAAATTTGTAACAGAGAAATCACTTGTCATTGTGCAGCATGAAGAATGTGCAGGAGCTGTAGAATTATGGTTACTTTAGGAGGAGTGACAATGTATACACTGTAGCAAGCGTGGTAGAATGTGAGCATCGGATGATATGTGATACATGACATGTACAGTAAACATCAAACCAAATGAGAAATTGTAATGGACAAATATGAAACTAGGACAGTTTTCCAATGTTTTAATGTACATTATAACATTCTCAGATAACAATTAACATAACTACAATAATTTAAAATGGAATAAAGACCTTTATATTTAGGTTTATATTAAACATGAAAATGTTTTTCTGAAACGTTTTTTTATATAATAATTTTATGACTATAAAACTATTTTATTTTATTTACAGATCTTATTAATAACCCCAAATAGTCACAGTCAAAAAGTATGTTGAATTGAGTGCTAATGCTTGAAGAATTAAAGCCAATAAGAGTTACCAGAAGAAAGTATATTATTCATTATGGTAAATGCAATTTTTTTTATTTTTGTAATGTTAATTATCAAGTTAATAATTTTGCAAATGAATTTAAACTTATAGTAAAGTATAATCTAGGTTTAGAAGACACTGTTGCGATCAGGAACTTGGGATAAGTGCTCACTTGAGACAGCTGTCTCTTATTGTTTAATTGTTACTCATTCTCCTGATGGATCTTTAATGATAAGCAATAAGTTTTGCTGAAAAGAACTAATCAAACAAGGAAGAGTTGTAAAATAAAGTTGGCATAGTCAATTACTGGTGTGTCCAATGTGGTTAGTTCTCTTCAGCAAAATTTATGCTTATCACTAAAGCTATCTGTTAAATTTGCCATATATTTTTACAACATACAATGGTTTATTAAATGGTTTTGATTTGTACAATAATGGTTTTGGTTATGTTTTATATACAGTAGATCCCCCTATAAGACGGTAGATACGTTCCGTTCTTTATGAATCAATTTTGTAGGAATCATAGTTTACGGACTACGGCTGTTTGAAAGGTTTTCTTTCATAAAATTAATCGATTCTAGACTAATTCGACTCAACATTTCCAAAATACGTATATTTTTTTGAAAATAATCCGTATAAACTACGTTATAAACAAAAAATTGTAGGATTGCTTACCGAGTGTGTACCGTTCGACTACGCCCGTTGCTAAAGCTTGGTTTCGTCGCGGAACAGCGCATCAAATTGCGGCCGCGATTTCTGATATTATTTTTCTGCGAAAACTTCGTTGACCTTTGGAGACATCATTAATATAAATAATTTTTATGGCCGTTAAATAAGAAATGTTTCTTTCACAAGAAATGTATAAAATTACAGTACTAAACAGACGATAGGTCGCCTAACTCGCCGTAGCGTGACGCTAGACGGCGAAAAATATATATTTAATTATAATAAAGTTACAATAAATTAAGTTAATATATAATTATATATACAGTACCTAATTTATATATAATTAATATATAATTATATGTACAGTACCTAATTTATATATAATTATATGAACAGACGATACTAAACTCAATTTATCCGCCTAAACGTCCGTAGCATGGCGCTACGGATGGCGGGAAAGTAGTTCGGCTGCCCGATGACGTTTTACATATTATAGGAGTTATTTTTACCGTTGTTTACGGATACTGCCACAATTTTTATAGGAATCATAACTATAGGAAACGGTTTTATAGGGGGATCTACTGTACTGCCACAATTTTTATAGGAATCATAACTATAGGAAACGGTTTTATAGGGGGATCTACTGTAATAATATGCAATAACAACAAATTTGGAAATAGCCAAAGAATTGTCAATATTATGGGGCTAATTTTTATGCAATTATTATTGATAATTTACATAATTTGGTACTAGAAACATTACGCACAATTGAGTACTAAATTTAATAATTAGAAATAAATAACTAACTAACTTCGAGAAAAATAAAGAAAAGAGCTAGCCTGGAATAAGATTCAAACCACAACTACTTCAAATTAAGCAGGTGATATTACCAATTACACTAACTAGACTTTCCAAGCATAACTTTTGATAAGTTTCTCAATAAATAACTCATTTTATTCATTATGCTTCTGTTATTCTTTCCTTCTTTAAAATTCTGAGTTGCTTAATGACTCTTAGTCATTATGTTGGCATCATTTTAGCAATGTTTGATACAAAGAGTGTCAGAAGTACTATCTAAAAGTGTGTCATTAAACTAGTCAAATGCAAAAACTTCATTTGACAAGTTTAAGGATACAAAGAAATTCTATGAAATGGCAGAACCAAAAACAAGCATAATATTCATGGAAAACATGTAATCTATTGTGCTGTTCACTTAACAGAAGCTTTCAGAGAATAGGAAGAATAAGAAATTTTTATCCATTGTCTATAAAAGGTAGTGTTCAGTGTTCTAAGAGCACATGTTCTTTCTGCTAAATACAGAATTCACTGTATCCCCCATTCACTAACTTTTATATTTAATTGTTTAGAAACGTTTTTACAGGTAACATTATTTTAAATAATTTTTGTAATTGAATCTGTTAGACTTTACTGTGTTATAAAACAACTGAAAGTAATCAAAGGTAACATCAAGAGATTGTTTTTGGGATGTTATCTGGACAAACGATGATAAACTGAACTAAAAAGTTAGTTAAAGTAAAAAAAGAAAGTTAAGTAAAAACTTTTATTAAACTTTATTAATTAAAAGTGGAAAGTATCAAATTCATTGTGTAATAGCTATTATAGGAAATCAACAATTTAAATCATTGAAATGTTCATTATTTTCAATGAGAAATTTATTAAAAAGTATTTTCTTCTTAACTTTAGATAATAAAAATGAAAGTACTTATTAGTAACTGAAGTAACCGAAAGATTTTTCAGATTTTTATATACAACTCTTAGAAAAACTGTTGTCAATGAATATGTAAATGAAAATATACAAAATCATATTGGTGTGGATGGTGAAATGATTATACTAATATAAAAGAATAAAAACTGCTATACAGAACAGTATGCATTACCATAAAAAATAAAAAAAAATATTTTACCACAATTTCCTGTAAATAACCATCTACATTAAATGATGATGAGGGTTAGGTATCATTGTGGACTGTGCCACTTTTAAATTGCAAAAAGCAATTATTTATTGTGACATTGTCACAATGCTGGGCTGAAATTTTTAATCATCTTTTAATTTAAAAAAATTATGTGACACAAAATAACACAAAAAGTTTGTACAGTTAAGTATACTATACCTGGTAATGATTTTCATCTATAAACCTTCATTCTGAGATTAACAAAGTAAAGACAGATGACAGTAGTAAAGTATAGGTCTGTAATTTCCAGGGCTGTGGAGTTGGAGTCATGGAGTTCTAGTGTTTTAGCCGGAGTCGGAGTCGTCAAAACATCCGCCGACTCCGACTCCTTTTTACTTACTTTTCACTTTGTTATGTATATAAAATGGAAAAGTATTGGAATCGCATCAAATTTGACCCTCAAAGTTTTTTTTTTGCAAATCTACACATTTGGAGACCTCCTGAACCCCTTAAAAAAGTTAATAAAGGGAAAAAAATTCACATGAGTGTGTGTGTTGGCATCTAATTGTTTAATTTCTTTATTTTCTGTTCTGAGATATTAAACAATATCTCAGAATGGGTAAAGTTTAAGAAACAAAATGTGGCACTGTAGCTTGCATATAAAGGGGCATTAATACTATTAAGTTTTGGTTCTTAATTAAAGGTCAACAGGGTGAAGACATAAAAGGGGTCATGTGTCATATCTCTTAATGAATATTTTACTCATTATTAGCGTTCAAAATTAAAAAAAATAAAATAAAACTTGTCTCTACCCTCAAAGTAAGCTTTTTTGCCATTTTATAATAGTACAGTAAAACCTGTTAAGATGTTCTTGCCTAAGATGTTAGAATGTATATGGGGACATGATTTAGTTCAACCACTTTGACGCTTAATAACCTACTCCTGTGTTAAACCATCTGACTCCAATTCTGACCACTCTGACCACAGAAATGATTAGGCTTTAAACAGGGTGAACAAAATCATGCCCCCCCACACAGTCTAACATCCACACATATAGAAAAAAATCTCAAATCTTTTGCATATCTCGAAATTTCAACGTATCCTCAGTCCAAAAATGTAAAAATTTGGGAGGGGTCATTTTTTGACTGAGTGCTACACTTTCCCTCTGTTATATATAACAGCTGAAAAAGTAAAATTATCGAATACATATTTATATATTACTTAGAGGAGTCTTTTAGCTTCGGAATAAAAAGTTTCTACGTTCTATCTTTATTAGAACTCTATTTATTGAATCTTTTATTCTGAAGTCATGTGATGACATCAGAATTTCTGGGTCTCTTTCGGTAACAAGTCCGCCCCTGGTTGGAGTTGGATGGTAAGGAAAAGTCAGAGTCGGTAGATTTTTATGCGACTCCACAGCCCTGGTAATTTCGAAATGGCAGCCCAATTACAACCTCACCTAACAGCTTTTCCTTAACAGCACTAAGAACATCTTTAAAAATATCATCTACATGCCTCACGTATTCATCTCCATTGCAAATTTGCCTGAAATGACTGAAGACACATATATGTACAGTACATCTCATCTTTACTTGTCTTTGATTTTTTATAATCCAGTCCTTAGTTTAATTGATGTCATTTGACACTCATACTTGTATTTTGAAAACAGATAAGTTTTCACTAATATTCTCATTTCTAAACAATGACTCTCAGAGAACCATTTAAAGTTGATCGTCAATGTTAGCACCTCTACAGTGGATAAAAAGTTAAGAAATCAAGTCTCAAACTCTTGTTATCGTTAGAGTCTATGTGCAAATTTCATAGTAAAATCAAGTACAACATAAACAGGAGTTGCTTCTTATCACTTTATGTACTGTTTATTTTATTTTTTTATACTTGTTATGGCCACCAAAAGCCATAGTGGTCACACTGCCACCCCACATTTGTCTCAATTGCAGATATCTCTTCAAATATCAAATATACTTCAGGTTACTTACATTTTTAAATTTTATTTTAGTTTTTATTTTTATCATATATTTATAGCTTGTTCAATGAAAAATGGATTTTTCAAATTCATTTTAAATGAGTACATAGTCTCGTCGACAACTAAGACACGCATTTGATGACTGTAACACTAGTAAGCTATAAATATTTGCTCTCTTTATTGCTATAAAATGAATTTTAACTAAAAATAATTATACACATGTAAAACAATACCTCTAAATCAATTTTAAATGTTTGTCAAAAAAGCATTACTTTCACATCTTGCTAACAAATTAAAAGGTAGTAGGAAAAACATTTTGCATAACCTTTCCTGGACAAGCTGAAAAAACCCCAGGAATTTTTCAGGAATGATCTTTCCCAGTTATGTCAGGACTCAGCCCTCATCACTTGGCTACCCTTTTAATCAAACCCGCAATGGGCTTGATTAAAAGGCCGTTTTGTCCATAGGGTGGAAAGAGTAAAAACAAAACTAACCATCTAAACTGAATACAGGTTAAGTGACATGTTTTCAACAACTTTGGAGATGAGTGTACACAGCAGTGTGGTTATGTAAGTGTCTTTATTTCCATTTTAACAAATTTCTGTTAAGTTTACAGTTGTGAGTAATACACAGGAAATTTTATGAAAACAGGAAATATATATATATATATATATATATTGTAATGAATTAATAAAAAGATTAAATTGAAATGATTAATCAGAGAAATTCAAATACCTTTGCTGTTGTAATTTCATCTTTAAGTCTACGTTCTAAATTTTCTTTTTCAATTGCAACAATTTCTTGAGCATGTCTTGCTTTATCTAATCTATAAAACATTTAAAATAATAGTGTTACTATACAATTACTTATGAAAGTATAACAAATATTGAAAAATTTATCAAATATAAGGGTCATACCAAAAGTAATAATTGCTATTTTTTACATAAAAATCTTGCTCTGTAGAAAGAAAATGGTTATACTAAAAGAAAAAATCTGTAAACATTTTTTTTATTTTTCAAAAAACTCCACCTTCATTGATACATTTTTGCCATTATTTTGGCAATTGGAAGATACCAACTCTGTCCCAACTGTACATAAACAGCAACGTATTGTTTTTCGGTCTGCTCCATCCTTTGTGAATTGCTGGCTTCTCAAACAATTTTTCACAAAACCATACAAGTAATAATATTAAGGTGCTGGGTTGAAAATGTAAGGAAAATGTGGAAGAATTTCCCAACCATTTGTCTCACCATTTACCTCGATTCATTGGACGCATCCATGCATTTTTGTGCCAGAGGAGGACTTTTCTATCTGATCTCTTGTTGCTTGGTACTCTACAAAGTTTTTGAAAGTCTGCTGATTGATACCAGCAGACTTTCAAAACTCTTTCAGACTTACCAGATCTCTTTTCCCCTATGTTCCAGAAAATCCACCATTAGATATCCCTCAGCATCCAAGAAAACTGCTTTCTTCATTTTCTCACTTGCAGGCTGAAGTTTTGGTCTTTTTCACCTTTGGTTAATCTGGGAAATGTCACTCATGATCTTTTTCCTGATTCCAAGATCATAATGGCAAAACCAGCACATATCTCCTGTCACAATACTCAGAAGAAAATTTTCATTTTTTTGTATACTGTCACTTAGCGATTTTTTTGTATACCGTCACGATAACTACCTGCACATTTGTTTTTGCTATGTTTTGTGATTGTGGATACATAAGGAACCCAACATGCACTCACCTTCCTATTCCAACTTCTTCAACATTTCTTAAGTTGTGTGGTGGACCAAATTAAGTTTGGCTGCAATTTCTCATATGATTACCACTCTAATTTCCTGAGTAAGCATATCAAATTTTTCTTTATTCTTGGTAATGATGTGGCTTTGCAGGTAACCTTCATGTGGCTGATTGTCAATGTCTGTGTTTCCATCTTTAAAGCTTCTGACACTGACATTTACAGTTGAACATATATACCAGGAGTCACCAAACTTCTATCACAGTGGGCCAGATAACTGAGAGAATGACAAGCGCGGGCCTTTCATTTTGTTCAATACAGCATACTGAATACAAAAAATAAAGACAACCAACATATTTATTTACCAATACACAATCACTGCAGCAAGCTCGCAATCACTTTCCTTAGAAACTTCATTGCAGGTACTTATATTCCATATAAATAATTATATTTTAGCTCATTTGTGGCACAGCACAGTTGCATCAATGGTTCGGATGACCTCGCGAGCTCGATCCGGCCTGCAAGCTGTAGTTTGGTGACTCCTAATCTATACCCTTGCTGAAGACATATATGAATTTCAGACACCAAAACGTTCTCCTTAACAAGAAATTTGATCACCGGATGCTAAAGAAATGATACACTGTAATCGGACATTTTTCTGACGAATCTCCCGGAATTCTTTACAAAAAGAGAGTCGTCAAACCTAGTTCAAAATTTTACCGAAGAATGGGGAGGCAAGACGTAATAAAGCAATTTAAAATATTCTTGTGCATTTAATAATCTCTCAGTAATCTGAGGGTGATTACAACTTTTGGTACCACCCTTGTCCATAGAAAAAATAAATACTCAATTTTCTGTAACAAATTTATCAGAATGCAATTGAAATTTGTAATTTTATAGGAAAGATACATCTTACGTTTTATCAGATATTAGAAAAATAGCTTTATAAATATCAATTAACGAGGAAAATTTAATATTAATGTACTAAATAGAATATTCACCAAATTATCAGATTATGTAGAGGCAATTTTAATAAAATATTTTTTAATTATTAATATTAATGTACTGTATATATACTGTATTAACAATTTTATAAAATTTGACTAAACAGCTATCTATTATGACATTTATTAAACATTAATTATATATAATTTGTGTTTAAATAGAAAGAGAAGGTTCTAAAAGAAAGCCCAGTAAAGCACCATTTATGTGTTTCATATTTATAAATGGGCACATGGGAACACTTTAGTTAAAGGAGTATATAAACATGGACATAGGAGTTTGGGAAGGAAAGGAGGTAACTTCAGTAACTTCCCTTACGAATTTGCACAAAACAGTAGGGAAAACTCTGAACGTAGTGAGTTAATTTGCCCAAAATTTTACACAAAAACAAATCATCAATTATTAGTTTTCCAAAGTTTTATAATTTGTTAATCTTTTTGCTTTCTATGTCGGATTTCTTTTGTTGCTTTGTCTGAATTTCCCCCGTTTTGCCTAAATTTGGAAGGGAAGTTGCCCTCTTTGCTCCTCCAACTCGTACATCCATGTTAATACATTAATTTGTGTTTATTCGAAAATATTTCCATCTTTTCAACGGCAAAATGTTTCATTTATAAGCTAAATTTGTTGATTTATAAAGTTTTACTTATACATTGTTTCCTTTTCAATAAAGATGTTATATATAAAATTATTCTAGTAGTGAGAAAATGTAATTTCTGTCACTTTCAAAACATTTAACTTTTTAGATATGTTAATTTTTCACATAAAAAATTAACTAGTTAGCTTTGTTTTTTGACTCTGCCCTGAGGGTACTAACAGGGCCTTTTAATTAAGCCCATTGTGGGTTAGCTAAGCTCACAATGGGGCATTTGAGTGGCAAAGGATGGCGTCCAATGTGTCCAGGACAAGCCACACCCAAAAAATTTCTAGTTTTTCAAACCATCCATCTCATTTAGCTTATCCTATAGCTTGTTTAGCTTACACTAATTCGCTTATTTTTTAATGTTTTTTTCAGGGCTGTGGAGTCGGGTAAAAATCTACCGACTCCAACTCCGACTTTTCCTTACCATCCGACTCTGACTCCGACTCCGACCAGGGGCGGATTTGTTACCGAAAGAGACCCGGAAATTCTGATGTCATCACATGACTTCAGAATAAAAGATTCAATAAATAGAGTTCTAATAAAGATAGAACGTAGAAACTTTTTATTCCAAAGCTAAAAGACTCCTCTAAGTAATATATAAATATGTATTTGATAATTATACTTTTCCGGCTGTTATATATAACAGAGGAAAAGTGTAGCGCTCGGTCAAAAAAATGACCCCTCCCAAATTTTTACATTTTTGGACTCAGGACACCGTAAAATTTCGAGATATGCAAAAGATTTGAGGTTTTTTTCTATATGTGGATGTTAGACTGTGTGGGGGCAGTGGCGTAGCATGGGTGTCAGCCGCCCGGGGAGGAGGAAAATTTCGTCGCCCCTTTATTTAGGTATCTCAATTTAAAAGACTAAAATTCAGTTTCGTCACAATAAGTAATGAAAAATTCCGTGCTAGTGTTGCCACCTTTTTAAAATCACTGACCCGGACGGCAGGTGAGGTTTGTTCGAACAGAAATTCCTGACGTATGCACAATGTCATTTTGCAATTAGAAGAATAACGTGCAGTGCATGCCAATTCTAAATCAGTTACAGTTAGCGATTAGGGAGACTTGGATAGGAGTAACACGAGTGACCTAGCTCTATTGGATATTGGAGGTGTATGTGATTACGAATGAATCGTACAAGCAAAAAAATTAAAAAAGAAAAAAAGGTCGACAGGTCGCGCACGATATCCCCAGACGGCGAGTCGGATGGTAACACTATTCCGTGCTCATTTCAATCGGTCCGAATCGTAGGTGGACGGATATATGAAATAAAATGGTTCAAATTCTTACAAGTTATTATTATTATTTATTGTGAAATTTTGCCGCCCCCTAAAAAGTGCCGCCCCCCTTCGCTACGCTACTGGTGGGGGGCATGATTTTGTTTATTCTGTTTGAAGCCTAATAATTTCTGTGGTCAGAATGGTCAGAGTCGGAGTCAGATGGTTTAACACAGGAATTAGTTATTAAGCGTTAAAGTGTTTGAACTAAATCGTGTTCCCATATACATTCTAACATCTTAGGCGAGAACATCTTAACGGGTTTTACTGTACTATTATAAAATGGCAAAAAAGCTTACTTTGAGGGTAGAGACGAGTTTTATTTTATTTTTTTAAATTTTGAACGCTAATAACGAGTAAAATATTCATTAAGAGATATGACACATGACCACTTTTATGTCTTCACCCTGTCGACCTTTAATTAAGAACCAAAATTTAATAGTATTAATGCCCCTTTATATGCAAGCTACAGTGCCACATTTCGTTTCTTAAACTTTACCCATTCTGATATATTAAACAATATCTCATAATGAAATTAAACAAATTAGACACCAACACACACGCGCGCGCAAATTTTTCCCCTTTATTGACTTTTTTGAGGGGTTCAGGTGGTCTCCAAACGTGTAGATTTGCAAAAAAAATTTGGAGGGTCAAATTTGACACGATTCCAATACTTTTCCGTTTTATATACATAACAAGTTGGTAAGTAAAAAGGAGTCGGAGTCAGCGGATTTTTTGACGACACCGACTCCGGCTAAAATACCAAAACTCCACGACTCCCGACTCCACAGCCCTGGTTTTTTTAGAGTTCTCCTCTTAGAAAGTGATGCAGAAACTTCATTTTCTAGCTACTTTCAGATCTTAAATTTATATATATTAGTGTATTTTTAGAATTTAATGGATTGTTTAAAAACCTTGTTAAATATCTAAAACAAAGGTACATCTGTGAAGCACAATAATAAAATTAACATGTGTTAAAATTTAAATAAAACAGAAAAATAATACACATTTCAAAATCTAGTTTAAAATATAAACTGGCTTAATTTTTATATTTTTAAATTAATTAGAAAATCTTTCTTCCTATTATACAGGTTGTCTGAAAAGTTCCAGTGCAGTGAAAAAGGGTTTAAGTAAAGTTTTACTTAAGATATTGCAGTTTTTCCTACAGCAAATGCCAGAAATGTCCCCAAGAGCACCCAAAATCTGGGGGAGTGAGGTATGGACACCTAGCAGGCTGGATTTCATTGAAGATTATGCATTCGGCAAAGAAATACTCCAAGAAATGCAGTCCAAAAACTGGACACGTGTCAGATAGCTGTAACATCATCTATCATAAAGTGGAAATACAGGACATACCATAAGAGTTAAAGGTCTTGTATTCAATACCGTATGTATAATTTTAATGTCATTACAAATTTATCACTGCACAGTTACTTTTCGGATACCCAATATTTAAAATAACAAAACAATCTAATTTAAAATGCTTAATTGAAGAATTATAAAAAAAAATCATCATACTCTCTTTGTAGTTCTAACAGAGATTCTTCTGCATTCTGTAAACATTCCATATCTTTAACCATTTTTAACAAATGAGTCTGAGAATATTTATGCTGAACGTAAGCAAACCAGCATCCTCCGATTGCGATAACGAGACACATAACTAGTAACACATCCTTCAGATAATTACGAACTGTCAAAAATAATAAAATAAATACAATTTAAAAATTACACTGTAATTTAGAAATCAAAGCGATTAACATCCATAATTAAAAGTAAAACTCTTTACGGTAATCAATTTTAGTTGGATGTTTGATCAATAAACATGACTAAAATGAATTGAAACAATAGACAATTTAATGTTTTTTACTTAATCATAACAGTAAAATTTATGCAAAATACTTAATATTGTAAATCGTAACTTTATAATAATTAAACTTTATAATATTTCCAATCATAGTTTTTATTGCTTCTATAGTTATCTCTCAATTCATTATTATTAAGTAGAATTAATAACAACAAATTATAGATAATGAAAACAAAGTTACAGTTAATCAATTCTTATAGCGAAAAGAAAATTAATGATATAATTTAATAAAAACAAACACTTTTAAATTAACAGATATAAAACTTTATAAATATTTGATGATTTAGCACACTTCAAAAATTGCTTGGGGTCTAACAATATTTAGAAATGGTAAAACTGGATGGAACAAATCAAAAACCACTTATGAACCTTAGCATTAGTCTGGTAGAGAATGTACAGTATATTTCTAATGTTTTTGATCAACACCGATTACCTTTGTCGGGAAATTTTGGAAATACGTACCATTGACTGAAAACGTTAGAAAAATACTATACCTTCTCTGCTGGACTAAAACTAAGGTTCGTAAGTAGTTTTTGATAATATTATAATAACAAGATATCCAGAACTGATAACCGGTGTGCACAGAAACAAAAAAACTGATGAAAACTTTTTCAAACTCCATCAGAATTCTTCTTCGGGAGTTATGTTGAACACCGAATGGAATGTCAAATGGATGTTGAATACAAAATTCGAAAACTTTTTTGAATTTTGTATTAAAAAAAAAACTATCGGCATATTGTTAACTATAACCCAATGTGGTGTAGTGTTGTTTACTGTTTAGCAATATGATAATATCTAAAAATATTGGAAATTCTAAAATGACATTGTAAATTTGTACCAAATCTAATAATGACTATTCCAGTAACAGCAATTACATAAATTATTTACTTTTTAACTGTTGAAGATAGAAATTAATTATGAATTTATAGCCAAGCAGTATTGTATTTTGCAATACTGCTTGGTTAATGTCCCATACATATCATAAACTTCATATTTCCCATTTCTATCCAATAATATACAATTAATTATACAAATGGGTGATTGGTTAATGAACAGTTTGGACTGCAAACAAATCGGATGACGAACACTTTCACAAAAGACTTTTATGTTCGGACAACAAACACATGTTCGGATAATAAACATCTCACAGAACATTCACAAGAAGAAGCAACATAAAACAGTGAATACTGATCGGTCTTCTCTTGTCTTCAGGTGATAATTCAAAACCTTTCTGAGCTCATGAGACATCAACACTGATGCTATATCCAATACTGATTGTATAGTATTCCTCCAAACTTTGAAACTCTCCCTGTAATTTTAGCCTTTTGTTTACCTTTCTAACAAGGAATTTTTTATAGTCTTCGCAAGACTGTCGGACAGGCACTCGTTAACTTTTGTGTCAGTTTTTATTTTTGAAAGGCACAAGTTTAACTGTCCCATCAGATATTTGTTCATGTTTTAATACCAAATTTTGGATTTCATCCGGGCTTCACATTAACACAATTTTTTGTGCGCTAGTTGAATTCTGTTCTCTGAATTTTTGTAATGCTTTTCTGAACTTTTTATTTAAAAAAAAAACTGATAATATGGAGCCTAAAAAGAGTGGAGTTTTAAGAACTGTGCTCACCACAAAAGCCAAGCAAGAGATAATAGCCAAGATAGAGAGATTGGGCAGAAGATGTCTGATGTTGCTAGGCACTATGGCTTGAACAGGTCTACAGTAGGCACAATCTTAGCTAAGAAAGATATAATCAAGAAGACTCAAGCAGCTAAAGGAGTAATGAAAATCACATCTGAGAAATGAAGAACATTGAAGAGCTCATAATGGAACCTGAAACTCATCTGACAACAGAACAACGTCAAGAACTCTTGAATGAAGAACACCAAGAAACTCAGCAAGATGTGTTTTCTTCTGAAAAAGAGGAAGGTGAAAAAGAATCAATGCTGACATCTGCTATTAAAGATCTTTTGAAGAAATAGGAGGATGTCAGAACAATGATCTTAGAATGGCATTCAAACCAACTTGAGGTTAATAGGCTTGGGGATATCTATGATGACAATGCTATTAATTACTTCCAAAAAATCCTGAAGAAGAGAGAAAAGCAATCAACATTGGACAGATTCTTTAATGTCCCACAAATGGAAAAACAACATGACTGATAAAAATGCAAGACTGTGTATATATGTATTATTATTATTATTACATATAAATAAATATAGTAAAAAGTATATATTTCTTTATTTTTTGGGGTCTCCAAAACTAATTAATTAAATTCCCATAAAAATCTATGGTAAATTGATAATCAGTTAACATAATTTGGAATGAATTATGTTCAATAACCGATCACCCATTGTATTTAAAACATTCCAATTTCTAAGATTTTCTTTTGGATAATCTTGTGTGGAGATAGAAATGCATTTACTAAATTACGCTCAAAAATAGTATACTGTAACATTATTTTTATCTTTTACGGTAAGCATAATGTTATTATTTGGCAATTTTTATTAAAAATTTAAATCAAATTGTTTTTATGTATAGCTGAGTTCACTCTATAATTTTTCAATTTATTTTTTCTTTCCTTCATTGATATAATTAAAAGTTATTGGCAGTTTTATCTCAATGAATAGTCGTTTATAGATTTGCTACCATAAAAATTTGATATGTAAGCACTTTCTCGCATTTGAATTCCATTATATAAAATTCGAAAAGACTTTTGATGTCTGAAAATGTTAAAATTTCTTGTATAATGACATTTTTTAAGTTTAATGACAATATACTTTTAATGGTTTTTCATTAGTTTCCATAATAAAACAAAATAAATTGTGTAGATATAAATAAATGAATTAATTAATGAAACTTATGTATATTAGGTAAGTTATGTTGCTGATTTCTTCATTGTAATCAAGATAATTCCAATTTAAGCTCCCTTTTAAATGTTGGATTAGGTGCATAACAATTTTAACTAGCAGTATTATCCAATCATAATAAAGCAATATAAAAATATAAAATTTAAAAATGTGTTGTTGAAATATTAATTTACATTACGATAAAAAACCTGTTCATAACTTATTAACTCTTTATGCTATGTGAGCATGAAGAGGAACTCTTTATAGCTGACATTTCTGAATGGACCACTCCCGAATAATTCCCAAGGCTTATTGACCTGTCTGGATTCAATCTTGGGTCTTCCAGAGCAGTAGGCTCTTAACTGCTTGGCCATTATAAAAAGATTTAAGAGAGAATAAATTCAAGCAGTAAATGATTTGGAGAATTTTCGGAAACACAATAATCTCAAAAACACGAGAGGGGACAATATTGTATTATAACTTCAAATAATAACATATGTATCTGTTAAATATGTTTGCTAATTCATGTCATGCTAATTTTCCTAATTGCTAAAAGAAAAAACTACCTCAAATCAGCTGCATTCATTATAATCTCTAAGCAAAACACTATTTTAATATATTCTGTAACAAAAAACCAGTACGAGTGAAATTCTTACATTTTAGAAACAAAATGAATTTACTATAAACTTCATGTCACTTAGATTCACAAGTAATTGAATTTTGTATGCATTAGATAAGTCCAATTTGTTCTTTAAAATATTTTTATGAAGGCAGTGTTGTGATTTGAAGAATTATTTTAAAGTATAACGAAACAAACAGATAAAGTTGAAGTTACCGTAAGTATTTAATTAGAAACATTTTTGACCTTGTTTAGATCATCTTCACCTAACAGAATAAATGAAATTTGTTTATTTTGTTAGCCGAAAATGATCTAAATCAAGGTCAAACACGTTTCTAATTAAATACGTTTGGTAACCTTAACTTTAGCAGTTTGTTTTGTTATTCTTATTATAATGGTGCCAAGTTTTGTGAACTTTTCCGATTACTTTAGATGATTCACAATTTGTATATTCTAACTATTAGCTATAAATCTAAGTACAAAGTTATAGATTGATAAATTTCATGTGGATACTTTAGGAGAGAATTTCATCATTGCCCATTCACCACAGCCAGACCAATCAGATAATAGTTCAATACATCACCATCAACATGTTGTTTGATTTAAATTCTTTTAATTTTGTGGCAGTTTAGTGGGCACACTTTGCAATGACTCACTAATATATGCTACTGTCTTAATAATTTATCTATGCCAATAAAGGTTCGAGAATTTTTTTTATAGAACAGTGATCAGTTGAACTTGATGAGAAATATGCATTGTTACTATACTCGTGTTCAAAACTAAAGCAACACACACAAATGTATGTGGAAAAAAAGCAGAAATGAACAGCCCTCCTTTGCAATGAATCATCCTCCTCTGAGGCATGCCTAATAAGCTACTGATGTATCAGGAATACTTCCTCACTGTTAGTATTCCTAGCAAACAAATATTCATCAGAAACAATTTCACCGTATATATATGTATAGCACATTGTATTTTATCGCACGGGTGTGCTTCTATTGTGTTTGATTTTCACAATAGGATGGCACTTTACTAATTTATGACATAAGTTTAAGCTACTTATGTTTCAAGGTGTTGATTTTACACAGGTTTTGTGTTTTTTACTTTAGTTTTAAACACTAAGATATGACACATAGGACTATTAAGAAATGATCAGATTTGTTTCAGTAATGCCAACTTAAGTATGAATTAGTTTTGTTTAATATTTTTTCATCTTTTGCAATGTTAAATATATTTTCTTGAAGGTATTATGAAGAAATTTTAAGCACTTTTTATTCCATAGAATAATTTTTTTTTTGACAAAATTTAAAATTAATTTTTTTATAATTCAATTTCATACATTGTTATTAAAATAAATAAACTAGAAATATTCTAGAAAATATTATCATCCAGGTAATGTCTGTTTTATTCTTGTTTTATGGAAAATTTATATTCCAATAACCACTACAAATTTTGAAAATTGTTAAAGAAAATATTAAAAATGCTAAGAAACAATAAATTTCATACATTTTGGAGGTCCAAATAACACAACGTCCATAGCTTTTAAGGCAATTTTCTGTTTATGAATTGGATCTTTAATGCCCAAAACAATTGTCATGAAATTTAAACTATTAACAGCTAATCTGAAATGATACAAAAATTTTAAAAATCCACATTATGTTATGTTCATTTAAAAATATTAAAATACTGATAATTTTTAATAACAAAAAGCCATAATGACCTTGGTAGCTTGGTGCCGTCTACATTGTGATTTTGAAATGTGTTTACATATTGGGGAAGATCAACGTAAGATACCAGCCATTCCACAGTTTCTTCTACTGTCCAATTATGAACTAAAAGGAAAAAAGACCAATATATTTCTCTGCTTACAATTATGTTATCACTGAATAAAAATATGCAAGAGAGAGTATTTTTAATAATTACATAATACAAATACATAATAAATAATTAAGTAAACAAAAACAAATAAGATGAAGTAGCCACTGTAATTACACAGACGAATTGATCAATGCATCTGTAACAGTGGGTGAAGTTTAAATAACGCTGATATTTTTGACCCATTTAACAGGTCATCTCCAGACAGGGACAGTGGAATGCCCATTATAAACAGTGAGGACAAGGATTTTTTCTCCTGTTTGAAATATTTCCTTAGCCATTTGTGTCAACCATTGCCATCATAGTCTACTTCCCTGCTTGTTTACTCTATTGGTGTCTTTCCCACCTTTCTTCCTTCCACACCCACCGTTAAAGGTGCATTTATTAATTCAGCTAATACAAATAAATAATTAAACAATCAACAGTTCAAAGATAAATTTTTATAATGTTTATAAAGTTGATCATTTTCCATATAAAGATATAATTGATGTGTGCGCAAAAGTTATAAAATCATGGAAATTAATAGCTACAAACACTTCAGTTAAATTAGATAAGAAAATTTCGGAATTAATTTATATATTATGACAAATATTAAACACACTAAAATAGAAACTAGAAATTTAAGTATTAAAATAATCATAATTTAAGACTTACAAAGCCAAACTACTAGAGAAATGAAAAATCTGTCAGAATGATGTGAGAATATCATTTAAACCAAAACAAACATTTTTAATAGAAACAGCACTGTAGTCGTGACAGGATGCTACCTGGTACTTTTCCTTTTTAACAGGGCAAAAGCCCTTGTACTTTGTGAACATCTAAATTGGATTTTAGAGTGAGAAAATTACTTCTTGCGCAATTCTTTTTGTACTGGTTACCCTTTTATAAATCATTTTTGGTACATTTAAGCCATTTTTCAGATATTGCGCCACAAAGCTGCACTTTGCCCGTACAAAACTATATAAACCGTGCTGCGTCCATAGACAGTGGCAATTCAAAACTCGGGGAGCCAGTTAGAACCCTGGCACAATTTAATTTATAACTACACCCCTGGATGGAAATAAAACTAACTTATAATTAGTAAAAAGTTGCTAATTAAGAATATAAAATTTAAAACTATATCTCAATATATAATTATATGGAATTGAACAACATATCATTTACATATGAGACAAATAATTATAATTAAATCAATAAATATTGCTTTACAATTTTCAGGGGTTACAAAAACTTTAGTAGAATTATTTAGATTAAATGTTATCAAGACTAATACAGGGTTCCCAATCTTTTTCATGTATCAACCTCTTTAAGAAAAATTATTTTCCCATTTATCCCTTCAATATTATATATAAACTTCCTACATTTATCTGAGAGCATAACGTGTAAAATTTTTAATATTTTTAAATAAATGTTTTTACATTTACAAATTGCAAATTGGGTTCCCATTAAGTAAGTATTGACCCCATTGGGAAGCTCTGTTTTAATGTTTCATTTTCATAACTTATAAACCACAAATAAAATACATAAACTAGATTACTCAAAGAACAAACTCAAGTAAATGAAAAATACAGATTATCCACTGTAATTACCAGTAATGGAGGCATGGATAATGCGGAAACATGGATAATCCACAAGTTGTTTTAATGAAAACTAATCGATTTTCTTCTGTTTAGTTTTTAATTTCATATTAAATTTAACACAATAGTTTATATATTACAAATAAAATACATTTTGAAAATGATAATTAATTAATTAATAAGCTTTAGACGTGACTAGAGTTGAATAAAACTTTAAACGTCAACAGAAAAATTTATCAAACGCACCTTGCAGTTCACTTTTGATTTCATGTATTATTAACAGAAAATGACAGGTTGCCAGCAAGATATTGTCATAAAACATCATTAATTAATGCTTTATTAATAAGGAAATAATTCAAAAATATTTTTTCAAACAATTTCATAACTTATTTAATGGAAGAAAATACAGTATTCACGTAAGCAAAGTTCAAGAATAAACTGCACTTACTGTACTTGTTAGGCCATTTAATTTATTCCTTGATATTCTGATAGTAGTTCTTATGCTCAATACACTATTTGAAAGACTAAGAGTTAACAATGCAGATTTTTAAAATTTTAATGCAAATATTTGTATTCGTGAAGTAAATTTTTATTCAGACATAAGCGTGAATGGATAACTGAGAGTATAATGTACACTAGATTCTGTCGATCATCATTCATTTAATGTTAACAGAATTAACATGGCCCAAAATATACATAGGTTTAAACATATTTACAAAACTTTGCTTATTGTAATCAGAATTAAGTTATCATTATCTTCAAGTAAATAGGCATTTATAAGCTGTATATCAGCCTCAATGTGCAAATGATAAATGTTATTAGTTAATGTTTCATCTTTGATTATCACTTTGAATATTAAATCTTAATCCTCATATGGTACTATTCCATGCAATTCCAAGGTACAGAGTATTTGGAAATTTACTATGCAATGAGAAATTTATAATGACATTAAAGTTACATGTAGGGAATTGCATACGAGACCTGTAAGTTGTACATCTCGCATTTCCACTTTGAGGTAAATGGCATCACTACTTGCTCACAGATGTTCTGGCATTTGGAAGACTTCTCTGCCGACCACATAATTTTCCATGGATGATTACCAAGATTTTGGGACCTCTGCAGGACATTTTCATCATTTGTTTTAGGAGAAACTGCAATATTGTATACAAAATTTCACTTTTATTAAAACTTTACTTAAACTTTTTCCACTGAACAGTAACTTTTCAGATACCCTATTATCAACATTGCTTAAATAAAGAATTGGAATTTTAAATAATCAGTATATCCATAAAGATCTTTACTCTAAAATCCTCCTAACAATTTCTGCCAAAACTGGCTATAAGGGCAAACTCACTGGTATGCCTTGCTTTTACAGAAAACTATGATTATTAAACCAAATGTAATTGTAGTACACTACTAACTCCAAAGTTTTTCTTATTATAAGTACCCGATGAACACCAATAATACTATTTATCAACATAGAATTTGCTAGCATAACAGCCTCAAATAAAGGAGAATATAAAGTAACAAATTTTATAGAAAGTTTAACATAAAAAAAGTAAACTCCTTAGATTAGATCCTTGAATACATAGTTCTTTACTTCCAGAGACAATACATAGTTTTATCATCAAAATCCCAGTTAATCCCAATTAATTAAATCTCATATCCAGAAAATGGAACAAGTAAATATAAATAGAACAATGCATTAAAACTACCTCACATTGTTACTTGCTATAGACCGAACACTTCAGCAAAGTGTATCATTTTCCTTCCCTTTCTTTCCTCTGCAAGGTAAATGCATCATAAAGTGATCTGTAATGACTTAATTACTCATTCATAGGCTATTTTTTGACAGTTCAGTTAATGTAGTCTCATGTAAGATCAATTTATCATGAAGTCTGTTTATCAATAATGACTTCATACAGTAATGTGTTAAATTTTAAAATTTTAATTAAATGCCACTGATATATAAAGCAATTAAAAATATTGTTATTACATATATAAGAATAAAAAATTGTCTGCTTTATTATATAAAACTATTTATGTTTATTATATAATAATATTCTATACACATTAAGATTTACATACGATAATACAAGATTACTTTATTCTGATGCTTACATTTTCTATTATTTCAAAAAAAAAATTTTTTTTTTAATGAATGAATAATTTAATATCAAATTACACAAATTATCCAACTAAAGAGAGAGATAACTCCTGTTTATCAGCGTTAAACAATGTTTATTTAATGCTGATAGACAATAGTTCTATCTTTCTTTAATTGGATAATATTTTAACATTGCAAACTAATCAATTTTATTCACAAATTAATCATATTTCTAATATTTAATTTAATTTAAATTAAAATTTCTTTGCTCTAAACATCTTAGCAAATATTTCTCTAGCAATTTTCACTTTAAAATATATACGTATAGGGTCTTCCAAAATTAATGCTACCACTTTAAATTACAGTAATTATGTTAATTACTATCTAAGAATTATTCATTGCACATCGATCAATAGAGTAAGTGTTCAAGTTTTTGTCTCCCATCTACATTCATGTGTCTTGTTGTATAACAATGCTAGGAAGTGTCAAATGAAAATGGTGACTCCACAACAGAGAAGGCATTTTGTAATCTACAGTTTGAAAAGTTAATTAAAATCACTAGTCATTGTGCGACACGAGTAATCTGCAGTAGTTGAACAACTGTGGCTGTAGGAGAAATGATAACATATATACTGTAGCAAGCATAGGAAGAATTTGAGCATCTGTTGAATGTGCGCTGCATGATTCAGGGTGCATACATTGAGAAACTGTAATGAGCAAGAGTAAAACTTTGATGTTTTTATGTACATTACAATGTTCTTAGATAATAATTAACATAATTATAATAATTTAGAATGGTAGCATTCATTTTAGAAGACCGTGTATACCTAGGCATATTCACACTTTTGTATTAAAATATTAAATTGAAAAATTACCTTCAGAAGTTTTCCATGCTTGCCATAACTCATCCACATTAATATACTTATCATTCCCGTGAAAACCTTGGTGTCTTTCATACCCGTTTTCATACTGTAGTTCATCACGTAGAAACTAGAAATAAATTTTTAATTCATAATTGAAATTTAACAGTATAAATTATATAATAAAATTAAACCTTATAATTGATTTATAAACTATTATTTATAATATTATAAATGTTATTTTAAAATAAAATTTATTTAACTAGTTTACCTTCTTATGTTTATTCAATTGTTTAGATTTTCAATTATTTAATGAATTCATTTGCATAATTAAACTGCTTAGTTTGTTTTTAATGTTTCCTAATTACAAATTCTATATGCAGCTACAAACATATTTTTCTAGCATAGCTAATGAATTTGATGTAATTTCAAAAGAAACAAGTTGAATTTCTAACAAGACCAAATTATACAGGAAAATGTTTTATATCGTTTTTAATTTTTTTTCTTAATGACAGTAGAATTTAAATATTGGTCTTAAATTTTCCGGCATACGGTGCACTCTTCCTAATTAAGCCTGTGCTTTAAATCAATAAGTACAAAACTATTCATTTTAATGTAAATATATTTATTAACCTGTTGCCCTTTTAATTTTCTTTTTTTATATACAGTCACGGGACTTGTCCGAGCAGCACAAGAAACATACAGACAGGTGTCGGCGCACGTGAGTATGAAGGAAGGGAGTTGACCAGTCCTACTCCATCAGAAAGTAGGAAGTTTCTAAAGGTGCTGGCCTCTAGAAACTTCCCAACTTCCTGACAGCACCGTCCACAACTCTATACAACCCCACTAATCTATACAACAATTAGCTTAAGTTAGGAAGTATTATTTTAATAACAATTCAGCTATTCAAATTATTTCAAAAACAAAATTCAAAACACTAGCATAATTATACGTCTTTTGTCATTTTAATGAATTTTATAAATCAGAAGGTTTATGACTCGTTCAAGTTGATTGTTTAATATTCAGTGCTGACAAATTACTTTAAGAACATTACCAAGATAAATGAGACACATCTTATCTATTTTTTAAAACTTTCGTAACCATCTGCACTATCTGATTATTAGTGTGAAGAACAATCGTACTGTAGTAAAATATATTTATCATTTGAAAACAGGCTCATAGCATTCTACATGTTAGTTTATTAAGCAATGTTAGGCATTGCAAAGTTTGAAGCTTTAATTAAAAGAGTTTTGCAATTACTGACATTAAGTGAAAGTGGATAAGATGCACTTCACAATAATGTGCTCAAATAAGCCAACAGAAAAGATTTCTTCATCGTCAAACTGCTCTAATAAATGAAATTCCGTAGACAGATAAAAACAAACTTTTGAGATTTTCTTCATGTATTTTCAAAATTTGAACACACTTGATGCTAAATTACGTAAGAAACACAAAAAAATAATTATCTTTCTACATTAAATCTTTTAACAAACATAAAATATATATGCATTTTCCATGGCACATTATCATCTTTGTCGAGCAAAAATTTCTGATGATGATGGTAACGCACTATTGAAAGTACTTGTGTATATACTTTATGTTTATTAGAAGGTTTTAATGCCAAAAAAAAACAGTTATTTATTGCGTTCCTGTATTTATTACATTTGTACTTTTTAATAATTCAAATTCTAAACTAATAACTTATGCTATAAGTAAAAATTTATTAAAATTCATTTTTATATTAAAACATATTCTGTATTGGGAGGACAAATAACATTGATTTATACCTTTGCAGACATTAAAACTAAAAATTTTATATCAAAGAAACTTATTTAACAATTGTAAAAAAACAGTATAAAATACATTATATTATAAAAGTACGATATAGTTTCTTTAATCTGACATATTGGAGTGTTGAATTACCAGATTTTATGTTAAGTATGTACTGTAAAATAGAAAATAGTGTTCAATTCACAGATTAGTTTATCATATTAATCACAATTGTGACTGTTTTGCTGACCACACTAGCAATAAACAACCAGTGACTGACAGTATACATGTACTGTACTGTACTACATCAGTCTCTCTCTGTCACATACATTGACACGGGGTAACGTGAAAATTTCACACGTGCTACCCTATGGAACATCAGATTACTGGACTTGTCAGACTGGCGAGTGACAGACTACAGAAACTACCACATATCAATAATAAAATGGATTACATATATAATAGTAGGATTTGTATATTCAGCATCAGCGTAATATATTTTAATTTTTATAATGTACTGTACATAAAAATTTTTTATATTCATTATATTATATTACTTTATTTTAAAATACTATCTAATTATAAACATTGAATAAGTTCTATCCTATAATTAGAGGAGAGAATTCAATATAGCCCGTCGATTTAACAGACTAACTGGGGAAGAGGGATGTCCGCTACTGCCAAAAGTCCGTTAAATCAAATGTGTTTTAAAAATACATATTAATAACAAACTTAAGATATTCATTATAATATGTGTTAAGTAATTTATATTCACCAACCCAACCATTCAGCCTGCTCTATCTACAAAAACAGGTTATAAGTTTTCCTATCGGAAAGATATTAGTTTCTTAAATACAAAGTTCGCTAAACTGAAGGTCTACTGTATTTGTAAATTCAACAAATTTTTTAAATTCTATAACAGTATATATATACACAATACTACATTGTAATTATTGAAGGAGACGTAATAAAGCACAACATATTTTAAACATTATCTCAAACACTGATCATCATTGAATTATTAGGCATTCAGCGATCCAATCACTATTCGAAATGAAAATCATTTACTAAAATTTGTCATAACATTAAGCTGTTTATTTAATAAATTGTCCAAATAACAGCAAAAGAATATATAAAAGAAGCAATTTAATAATAATATAAATAGACTGTTGAAAATATTACTTAAATAACATCTGCAAATTGAAATAGAAACATGAGAGAATCTTATTTATGTAGACATTTTAACTAAGCAAGATGTTGATAAAAGGCCAAAACAAATTCTTGAATATAAGTTAAAGATAGAAAGATAAAACAAAGATCAAGGATTTCTAAAGATGCCAAATAAAAATTTTAACCAAAATTACAAATTATGGTATTCTTGTTTTTTTATAACGCAATCCTGTTACTATATTTATTTATTTCGGTATATCGGCACTGCTTACTTAAGTACATTCTTTACCAATGATTCTTAAACTCATTTTATTCAATAAAAACAAATGAAAAAGTTGGCACTATCATCTTTTATACCTGATAAATTTTATGCAAATTATAATTTCATAATTTAAGTACAATATTAAAAATATAACTAACATTTAACTTAATTAAACTAACAAATATTTCAAGCATTTCTCTAAGAAAAGAATAAATGTAACTCGTTAAACGTTTATTTTACCGTGTCCAAGTTTCCGTCTAACTAAACGCAACCTCCACCGGCAATTTTAAAACTAAATCTAAAAACAAGGGTTTATATTATTATAAAATAATCATGTTCTAATATTTCGGGATAGTTTCCTCTAACAGACATATTAAATAGATTAATATTAAACACCAAGATTCAAAGGAAAATTCTCAATATTAATGTGACGGGTGCGATTTAGGAAATTATTTATTCATAAAGAAAGTAGAAAGGTATCTAAAATCTCTATTCGTTTAACAATTTAACGGCTTTAGACAATATAAACTAATACTACTGGAATATAAAGGACGAAACGAGAACAATCAATCTTTTGTACGGGTTTAATAACAGGAAAACCAGATATCAGCAGATAAATCGTAAAAGCCGTTTGGCCATAATCCAGTGACGTCTAAAATTAGATTCGTGCACATCTCGTTTGGCATTAACTGCAAAATAATGACATTGTGAAAAAGACACACATAATTTCTATAGTTTGTAACGTCGACTTCTTAATATATTTAAAAATTCATTTAAAATTAAGCTACTTGACGACGGATAAAGTACTTTTCAGACCGAACTTCTGGGAACAAATCAATCCTTTTCGAGTAATTTATATTTTAAGTAGGAAAAAAACTGTTACATATTTAATACGAATAAGAAGTAGGTCAGATGACTTTTTTTTTTTTAATGTAATTTAACCGTACCTCAATAAATAAGTCAATGCATAATGAAAGCAGAGCTCATATATATTATAACTTTTATAAAATATTCTATATGTTATTTTTCTTTATCAAATGGAAAATTGCCATAGGCAACTACCGAACAAACACTAAAAAGAAAAAAAATTACACACAGCAAAGTGAAGGTATATACTGTACTCAATCAAGGTCATATCCACACGTGTTTTATCATTTACAAACGAAGATAGGAGTGTTTTTAATTATAATGCGCACCCATTTGAGTATATCTGGATAATTTTCCAAGTGAAAATTATCTGGATAATTTATATTCCGCACCTGTCAACCGGGAGGGGAGGGGGGATTATACTGTTACATAAATTATATCATTTGAAAACATATCAACAAGTACTCGTACAACAATGACTCACTTCGTCGCTCTCTTCAAGATCGATGTTGCCATTGGCATCGTCATCCAATTGTCTGTGGAGTGTCCTAATAGCTTCATATCCGCTTTTATCTGTACAGATGTCGAGATCTTCGCATTGTTCGCCTGCAATTAAGAAAACAGTCGGAAAAATTACTTCCAAATTTTAAATTATTAATTATTATATGCTTAATTTACTTTCTGACTATAATTAGATCGTGTAAAACAGTTCGCCTGTCAGTTAATGACAGGAGAACTTGCCGATTTAAACTGTAGAACTGTATAAGGGGGTGGGGGGAGTGATGTAATTCGATCTTAACATCATGGCGGCTGTTAGTAGTATATCGTGTGTTTGACATTATAAATACTGTATATACAAACAATAATAATAAATAAGTTAGGTACGTCACTTTAAAAGATTTATTAACGTATTTAGGAGAGAAACAAAGCGCGTATTGGATGCGGATGCGAACCATTTATTTTCGAATGGACTCTGACACCAGAGTTTAAAGGTTTGCAGACTCGTAAAAATTAGTACACATTTCACCAAAGTATTATAAGTAGAGCCGTCGAGAAAGAGCAGAGGATTTTTTCTAGCAGGGGGCCCGTGGTAACTCCTACCCCCATACAAATTAATGTTATTGTTACCAACAGAAAATAAAATCTAAGAACGATGTTTATTAATAAAGATACATTCCATGCATTTCATTTGTTCAAAAAGACAAGAGGCGAAAAGACCCCGTATAAGATCTGGAAGGCCCTGACTGTTGTTAAATAGTCGGGGCCTTCCTTCAGTATCAAAACAACATTTCTATATGAAAGAACTGTCAAAGAAACTTCTTATTAAACTCTACTTGTCAGATATGGCAATATATTTACTAGAGATTAAACGAAAATGAAAGCTTGAGCCTTTTGTGAATATAAATACAGTAGAACCTGGATAAAACGGAAAAATATTCCGTACCGTGCGAGTCCGGTTTACTGGTAATAGAAGGGAGTGACAACCAATACACATCTAAATATAGAAATTATGCCGAATTTCTCACTTATAACTGTGCTAAATTAACTTTTAAAAAACATTAAATATAGCTTGAGAAATTCTCAATACTTATGTAAAAGAGGAGTTTCAGGTATAGCTTATTTATAATTATTATTTTAAAACGAAAATTTCATTATTTTCGTCCGTTTCTAATTAAAATCATTCAAAATTTATTCGTACGAAATTAGTATGACGTATGCTCAAACTAGTGAACAATGGTCACTGACAGAAACACAAAAATCCAGCAACCAGTTGCGTAACTTTTCAGGCGAAAGAATTTAAAATTGTGCGTGGCGCCATCTGTTACTGCTTCCCCTCTCTACATCCCCTTATCAAGCATCCGGAACACACGACCCACCTGCCCCCTACAGAAACTCCTCCCGAGAGGCACCCCCTTGGTAGCTCACCAACGTGTTATGTTGACTTATCCAATCCCTATTATAATCCAAACTTCAAAGCTTATCAAAACGTGTACAGGACTCTGTTAAATCGCATTGTTTTGAATTACTACAATAAATAATTTCGTAGATATTAATCATCAATAAATAAACAAATAAATAATAATAAGCAGGCCTGCGCTCACCACGGACCATTCTTTTTTTTAATTTTTAAACAGAATTACAAAGTAACCTCCAAATAACGGCCATCTTTTATGTTCCCGCTAGTGGCCGTTCTTCACAGGTTTCACCGAATATAAATCTATTACTAATTATGCAAACTGTGACATAACTAAGCCGAATAAGTAGATATTTTCTTTAAACATTCAGTACAGTCGCCCTAATCCGAACAGTTACCATTCCCCTAACTAACGGGTCAACTGTACACCTGCAGTTTACGTGTAAAATAAACACAAGTCACGTGTTGGGAACATTACAGCTCACTCTTTATAACACCCTGTTTGACTTCACAATTCTAACCTCAACAACAGTAAAAAGATATGGCCTCAAAGCGTGGAGGCATCGTATCCTTATTGTTAAATTAATCCAACTAACACCAGTCTGAATACGTTCGGATTAACGCGACAGTACTGTATTTTAATTTAAAAAAAAAAAAAAAAACGATTTTCATCTACCTTACTTCGTTCTCACGAATAACAGAGGGAAGGAACTGCAGCCCAATGAAAATAAAAACTAACGAATTTATAAATTTATTTAACACATGGTTTAAGATTTAAAAATATATACTTTTTTTTATTTATAACCGAGTTTATTCCTGCCAAAATTACAATAGAAAGGCCATTTGACTATTGAAGTCAACAACCTGTAGGATAATCTTTCATTGATGACGTGTGACAGTCTCATCTATTTCTCAACTTAGATATGTGCATACTTCACGCATGCTTCTTCAGATCTAGTCCAACGACTCTCGCTTGCCTTCTTTTTTTTGTGTGTGTGTGTATTTCCCTATCATAAATTGATAGAGCTATCGTGAAAGTCTACCGGTACCTGAATATATTACCTCATAAGAAATTTTTACGTGCAGTTTTATTATTCTTTATTATGTCTCGTCTATTAATACAAGTGTAACACGAGCATTGAGATCTCAAAGTCGAAATATATTTAAATGAAGTTGGCTGGTTGATGAAATAAGGCAATCCTACACCTGGGAAATCTGCCAAGGAGGAAGGAGGGCTTTCTATGGGGGAACTGGCCTCTATTTAGGTGTCAGACAGGTGAGGTACACGATGGTGTATGAACCCGCGACCAGTATTCCGTGGTTTTATCCATTAGACCTTCTGGTGGACTCGTTGATTTATAGGACTTTGATGGACAAGGTTGGACTTCTGGGAGAAATTTCCACGCGAAACTGGCTCCCTATTTAGGTAATAGACACGTGAAAACTCCATGCAGACTGCCGGTTACTGAGATTCGAACCCGCGACCCACCAGCAGTGTTTAGAATATTAGAAGTTCGATTTATCAAATACATAGAGACGTTTGTTAATTTCTTTATATTTTCTGATAATTATTAAATTTTTTGAAGTCGCCATTATTAAATAAAACTGATCTCATTCCTATTAAAAAGACAAGCAAAAGCATCCATCCCCAATAAATTATCGATAATCAGGAATAGTGATAAAATAAATTTAATCATTTTCTTGCATATTCATACACAAAAACCTGTCTAAAACGGATTCTACAGAAAACAAATAATAGAGAGGTTGCGGCCGACGTTTCCATCGAGAGAACGTGTACGTCGGACGTTCAGCGCCGCATTCCTGTAAGCCTAGAAGTTTGACAATGGCGTTTGGAACGTCAGTGGAATCATGCTCGACGTTCCAAACTCCATTGTCAAACTTCTAGGCTTACAGGAATGCGGCGCTGAACATCCGACGTACACGTTCTCTCGATGGAAACGTCGGCCGCAACCTCTCTAATAAACTCGGAACGAAACGATTTTCTAAATGTTTACTGTAAGCCTGCGACCTGTCTAACGCGAAAACAGAAGATTTTTGGCATAACGTAACACAATTTGTACTTATCACTGTTTAATGTAAGGTTTTCTCAATACACCTTTCTGCATTAATATAAACAGAACCTCTATACAACGGAAACCTGCGAAAACAGAATTTTGGCCAAGTACGTCGAGTTCCATTTTAGACAGGTTTTACTGTATTTCATTAAAACAGTTTCGAGTTTTTGTTAGGGATACATCTATAGGGCCCATCCGGTTACAAAGTGTTGCGTTGCAGTGTCCCAAATCACACTACCTTTAAGTAGTCTGTTGTTTCGATCGTGGTACAAGATTATAATTAATATAAAAACAGTTGCAACACTAGTAAATTCAGTATATAAAATTCCAGATAAATTCAGAAGTAGGCTACTCGAAACGTTTCATCTTAGGATTGTAGCATTAATGAAATTAAGGAATGCAACACCCAAGCAACCTGGCAAGGGTGATGCCTCCCGGAAAAGCTTTCTACGAAGAAACTGACTCCCTACTTAAGTGTTAATACATTCATTATTGCAGAACTCTGCGGTGCAATTGTGTGTGACAAGGGAAAGTCATGACATGTTCATAATTTTCAATGATAGTGTTCCTATGGATAATGATTCGTGTGAAGCTTTGTCGGACCAAGGGAGAAAACTTGCTTCTCAAACGTTTTCAAGAAAATCGAAGTTAAAAAGGGACTTACGAGTATGTCTTGTGCATGAAATCTTTAGTAGTATTAGACATACGAAAAGTCCACGACCAACTACCACTGAATACTGGTAGTTGGTAGTGGGTTCGTGCATGGCCAACGGTTGGCCTCGTGGAGTTTTCCGGGTTTTCTTTACATTTATAGCACTTAAATAGGGGGCCAGTTTCCCATAAAAGTCCTTCCGGAAGGCATCTTCCTCGGGAGATTGCCCACTTATCGCGTTGCCGTAACCAAATAAACCAAACCAAATCGCTATTCCATATTTTTTAAGAGGGCTCGCAGGTACTGCATTAACAGTTTTAAGTGTAAGATTCTATCTGCTTTTGAGAGGTATTCAAATGCCAGGCATGCCTGTGCGATGCAGTCAAAGACATTACACACATTTGATGGTGTTGAGAAAGGTCGAGGAAAGCACGATGCCTGCCATTTGTGTCGTTCTGACCTGATTGTGAAAACGTGTTAAGGCAGTGGATACCTGAGAGCACGCGTACATGGCGGGCATACTTTGGACCTCCCAGACAAGCCACCACGAGAGATCGTCTGATCGTAGGAGAAGTACGAAGAGCTGCAACGACGACTTTTCTCCAACAACCAGACAGTTGGGAGCCTCCTACAGATAGTTCTCTCATCCCCTTGGAAAGAGACTGGCAGAAGCAAATTTGCATGCATGCATGCATGGCGACTGCTATGCGTCCTGCCGTTAGCGCCCCAACAGAGAAGCATGGATTACTACAGACTGGCATCGTCTTTAGTGACGAATCCTGGGGCCGTATTCTGATCACTGTCTCTGGTCTCTCGTAAGCCGGTCGCTGAATGGCTAATCCAAATGATTAGCCTATCAGCGACCGGCTTGCGAGAGATGAGAGACCAGAGACAGTGACCAGAATATGGCCCCTGCTTTTGTTTGGGAATAGATGACCACCGTGCTAGAATGTGGACCACTACT